CTTCTAGCACTGATGATGTTACCTAGTTGGGTCATGAAACATCTGCAAGAAAACCAAGCTCAGAGATCACCAAGGACCCCATAGTTGTTGCTGCTGCTGCTGCTGCTGCGGCTGCTGCTGCTGCTGTTATTATTGTTGTTGTTGTTGTTGTTGTTGTTGTTGTTGTTGTTGTTCTTCTTCTTCTTCTTCTTCTTCTTCTTCTTCTTCTTCTTCTTCTTCTTCTTCTCCTCCTCCTCCTCTTCCTCCTCCTCCTCCTCCTCCTCCTCTTCTTCCTCTTCCTCCTCCTCCTCCTCCTCCTCCTCTCCACAAACCCCACTCCCTTCTAGCACTGATGATGTTACCTAGTTGGGTCATGAAACATCTGCAAGAAAACCAAGCTCAGAGATCACCAAGGACCCCATAGTTCTCCTCCTCCTCCTCCTCCTCTCCACAAACCCCACTCCCTTCTAGCACTGATGATGTTACCTAGCTGGGTCATGAAACATCTGCAAAAAAATGACCAAGCTCAGGGGGCATCAAGGACCCCAACATTCAGCCCTGAGCTACAAATATTCTCTTCTATCAATCCTTCTGTATTTTGAAAGATACTGGTCTAGAATGGAGTTCCTCCAAATAATGACCATCTGATATGATGTTATTACTGTTGTATTTCCCTTCTCTTGAAACCAGCATAGTCTTTGAGAGTTTGGAGGGTTTTAGGTTTGGGGGTAGATTGTTTTAGAAAGTGCTGATGGCCGTTTGTGTTAACTAAAACGGTTAAAATAAGAAAAATGAAGTCAGCCGAACTCTAACCGAAACACAAATATCTGGGCTTATGAGGCATGAATTTAAAAACCGTTCTGCATGAGATGACTAAGTGTTCATTGCAAAGAATAATAGACTTAATTTTGTCTATTTTTCCCCCCAAGCGGAACTTCGGCAAGCTATTGTAGCCATGATGAACAGAAAACATGAACTGGAAGAACAGAACAGGTAAAACAATGATGCTTCGAGTCAGTTCTATGGAACGTCATTATAGGTGGACAGAGATTGACTTGAAGTTGATCTGAGGCTGCGTAATTCTTTAGGCCAGTGATGGAGAACCTTTTAGAGACCGAGTGCCCCAAAACCGCCCCCCTCACCCTGTCCCTGCTCTGCCCTGCCCACTGGGCCACTCACCACTTCCACGGCCCGCCACAGATCACCCAGGCAGCCCAGCAGTGCCATGGCAGCCACGCTCTCCGCCCATGCCCCGCAGCATCATCTGCGTGCGACGGGGCGCAAGGGCAGAGTCTTGTCCCCGCTGCCCGGCTACCATGTCCTTGGCTGCACTGCTTTGCGTGGGCCGCGTCCAGGGGTGACTCTCCTCCAGGGGGGCTGCTGGTGAGGAGGGGGCCGTGGGAGGAGGCGGGGCTGGGGAGACGGTGTGTGTGCCCACAGAGAGGGCTCCGAGTGCCGCCTCTGGCATCCGTGCCATAGGTTCGCCACCACTGCTTTAGGCTGACATACAAAGAGAACAGCAGTTCTGAGGCCCAGTAGTTCTACCGTTATCAGGCCCAAAGCCTCAAAAGACAACACCGTGAAATCCAGCCGAATCCAATCCTTGATTTGCTTACACCGAATCGACAGAATCTTGCCAGCGTAAAGTTATAACCTTCTAACCTGATAGATATACTCTGAGACATTCTCAGGTATGGCTACTCTGAACCGCTTCCTACCTTCCCCTGTGCAGTCTCTTGTCTTGTGTGGTCTTGACAAATGTTAGATTTTAGACAATCCCATTTCACTCTATGCTTTTCTTCTCTGCAGTTCCTTGCGGGGCCTCCTGGAGGGGGAGATGGAACATTCGGCAGGACTCCGTCAAGAGGTGGACACCCTGAAGAAGAAAGCTTCAGAGCACGAAGAACACCACACAGTGAGGATTCAGGCCTTGGCCAGGTAGCGGATTTGGGCTAGGTGATGGTCTTGCTTTGGGTTTCCTGGGTAAGGCTGTCCCAGCCTACGTCCGTCCTTGTTACGTCACAAGAACAAACCCCTCTTAAACAGGAGGCTGGGAAAATCAACCTCTTTTTATTTCCAAAACAGTCCTGATAAGTTTTTCTCCAAAGCAAAAAACACAGAATACTTTCCTAACAGATAATTGGTTACAAAAGCAAACAGAGCAGAAGTTTAAACAAGAAACTCACTGATAAAACAAAACAGACTGTGATGCTTGGAAGTTCTTTACAAACGGTTGCCTTCAGCAACCAGCACCCACCCACACCATCCCTTTTTATAAAGCAGTCCCAAGGCGTGGCCTCTCAGTGCCTTCTCCTCCTCCCCTGGAGTTGTCGTATTGACTGCTGCTGATCTGCTCTCGCTAATTGCCGGCGTCTACGAGCATCCATCATGTCCATCAGCTGTGAATCCTCCAAATCCGACTCACTCTCCCCACACAGCTGAGCTTCATCTGTAACACAACTGGAGGGGCCAGGCTCTTCATCAGACCATGAGTCTTGTAATTCATCAGAGCCTCCCTCTGACCCTGAGGGCCCTCCAAATGCCTCCTCCTCCTCCTCCTCCTCAGATTCCCCGGACTCAGCTGTTGGGAACACAGGCTGGCACGGAATCATGACAGGCGGGACTACAACTCACCATCTCACAATCACTCACCATCTTTTACCATTGCTATATGGAGTTCCCAAATGATAATAAAGGAACCAATTTATAAGCCTTGCCCTGGCTGGCTACTTTCTAAAGACTAAAATGCTTTAGAGGTGGTATGCAGCAGATAGAAAAAAACAAAATTGAGGACTTTTTTAGAGGGGTGTTTTAATAAATTTTTAGGGGGTATGGGGGTGGTTAGGGGAGGCAGGGGGGATGTCTCCCTGAGGCCAAGGCCGGCCATGTCTGAGGGACGCGGCTTTGGAATGGTGAGGGGGGAGGTTGGGGGGCTAAGAGAGGGTGGTGTGATCAGTACGGTCAGTGGGAGG